TTTTGTTTTCTGGGGAAAGAGCAGAATGTATATTCCATATGCAGGGGGCGGGGGCAGTGACATTAAATCAACGCAGAGGGAAGGGATTCGCAGAGGAAGGTGGAGCACAAGATGGGTTTGGAAGCATCGGCAGGTTCATAACCCTGAGCCCCTAAGAGATACTGAACGTAAAGCGCATGAAAACAAACTGCCAACTACAAGAAAAGGTGAATCTACTTAGATCTTCCAAAGCACGGAAACCAGACTTTATCTGTTTCTTGCTAAAGTTGCTCCCTTTTCCCTCCTCCCCCTCCTGCTGTGGAAACCAGAACAGCTTTTGAGGTTCCTGGGTTTTACCAGCGTGTCCCCAAACCCTGTTTTCGGATTTGCATTGTCTCAGCGCAGTGGTCTGGGTGCTTGGCTGTGACCTGCCTTCACGGAAGGAGGCCCCACCGCCACGCCCCTCCCACACGATGGCGCTCCTTTATGCAGACCTCACAGCAAGGCTGGGGAAAAGGGGATCAGATTTCTTATTGTGCCCACTTCACAGAACGGGAAGCTGAGGCTGCGGGGAACAGAGGAACTGGAGAAAGCTCCCCCAGCCAGGAAGAGGGGAGGCTAGTTCAGTGTCCGTCCCTCCTCCCAAACCTTTATGGGATCGTGCCGATGAGAGTGAGCCCTGGGATGAACGAGAGCCCAGGTAGGTCTTTACCTGGACAACAGCTAAACACCCTGCTGTTATGAAGCAACGGCTAGATCTAGCTTGGCCCACGGGTAGCAAACAAAGATCGCAGTGATGGACTGCACATGCCCACTGCCGGGATGGGTTTGCAAGGAGGCCAGCAAGCTGGTAGCCTCCCAGCCTCCGTAAGCAAGGGCCGCGTCAGCACCCCACAGTGCCAGCCGGCGAGAAGGGCTGGTGGGGTCGGCCCAGCAGAAAGCTGTCAATCAAGCGCAGCCCAGGCACCAACATTTTTGTTGGTCATTTTCATTTTTATTTTTTCTGAAACTAATCAGTTCAGCATGAGTCACTTTGTAGAAGCTGAGAAGTGAAGGTGCCCCCAGTAATGGGCACAATTCAAAGTGGACACCCCGCTTCCAGAAGATTCCCAGGAAACGAATGGTTACCCAACCAGCCCCGGGCGCTGGGGGTGGGCAGAGGGGAGGGAGAAGAGGACTGAATTCGGAGGTTGTGGCAGGGTTGCCAGATGAAACACAACACATACTATGTATGGGACATACTTAGACTGAAACAGTATTTGTTGTTTTTCTGAAATTCTAATTCTACTGAGCATCCTGTCCTATGTTTTACCCGGCAACCCTGCCTTCATACCATCTTCCCTTCCTGAGCAAAGTACACACACACCTAGAAAGCTCTACAAGACAGAAGAGGGCTTCCAGAAGATCTGACCCTCTTGCTGCCTCGATTAAAACCCTTTAGCCGCGCCCTGCTGTCCTTCACAAAGTCTGAGTGTGTGAAACTGATGCCCCTGAGGACTTGCTAAAAGGTGGGCGGTTAAGTCCCTCTGCTAGTTTCCTCTCAGCAGGTCTGGGTGGGCCCGAGAATTTGCATTTATAACAAGTTCCCAGAGGACCATAGTGCTGGTCCCAGGGCCACATCTTGCGATCCTCCAACATCCTCCATGTCTGTGCCCACACGGCCCTTCGAGGTGCAGCTCCTGGCAACCCTGCAGCTAATCTCGCACTGCTCTCCCTCCCTCACTAGCCCACTGGCCGCCCTGTAGGCCCCCAAGAAAACTCTCCCCAAGTCCCCACAGGGCCTCTGCACGTGCTGTCCCCTGCCACGAACTTTGCCCTGGAGGGAGGGAGTCTGATTCCTGCCATAGTTTACAAGCGTAGAAACAGATGTGGGGGACCTAAGTCACTTGCCCAAAGTCAAACGGCTGGTAAGAGGCTGAGTCAGGGGCTAGGGTTTCACCTTCCTGTCTCCAAAGTCGGCCTTGTTTGCCACACTGCTGCCGCCCAGGCCAGTGCTGACTTCTGTTCCAAGCCACTCTTGCATGTTGAGTTTTGTGAGATTGTGACTGGTTAGCTATTCGTTTGCCCTCAAACCAAGCCCCGGAGACTCGGTACATTGGGTTTTGGGAAACGAGTTCAAGTCCACCCTTGACACCCTTCAAGACCCAACAGACTAATCTCAGCATTTGTCTGAACTCAAAAGTGCGTCTCCCCACCCCAAACACATACACACACACACACACACACACACACACACACCCTACAGGCTATGGAGAGAGGTCTGACACTTAAAGTTGCCATGGCAACTGAAAGCATGTTCCCTGATTCTTTCCCAGTGGTAGGATGATGTCAACTTCCTTCCTCCTTCTAGGAAATAGTTCCGCTTTTGGCCTCTGCAGTGACGGTGAGGCAAGGACGTGGGTCCCGGTGGTGAGTGGAGGCCAGGTCCCTAGGACGGCCAAGGGCGTCCCTGGGCCTACCGTCACCTTCAGGCTCTCTTGTTCTAGAAGCTCTGGTTTTACCTTCCTGCTTTCAGTTCACTCATTCATTTGTCCATTCATTCCACATGCACTCACTGAGCATACAGGACGCAGCCATGAAGCCGGGGCCCAGCAGTGAACAGGACACTTGTGGCCTCCGGCCCCTTCGCCCCGGCAACCGCATCACAGGGGCACCTGCCTGGACTGAGCTCAGTGCCACCCAGGAGGACAGGCCCCTGCGGGATGCCTGCCAGTTGCCTGCAGGCCTGTGGGCTGGCAGAAGCAAGGTCGCAGTTAGCCAGGTAGAGGGCAGGAGGTTCAGGTCGGGTCCTGGGACAGACGAGGCCTCTGCAGCCTGAACAGCGCCCTGCAGCTTCCTCAGCCGGACGCCCTCCCCCGTCTTCGCATGGGGCTCCTTCTGGA